TTTTTGACAACTTCAAAATATTTCCGAGTTTAGTTTACGCCTATTTTAGAACTTAATTTTTAGAGTTTTCTATTATGCGACTGAGAGTTAGCCATAAATATACAATAATCATCAATTTTTCCGTACCATCGAACTACTCCATCAGGCACCTTTAACGTGCAAAATCTTCTATTAGAAATGCAAACGCCGCCAAGATATTATAGTCGTTAGTGAATCTGACTGCGATCCCGATGGGCCCAGGATCGAATCCCTGAGAAAACATGGATGTTTCTACGCGTGTATCTATACGGCAAGGAGCCATTCTACATGGCAAGTCGAAAGTGGTATCAAAACCTAGAACTAGATAGATTTAAGAATCTAGATATATTAAAAAAAGACATAAAAGTTTAAAAAAGACACTCGAAGAAAAAACTAGACATGAATGTTTGAAAGGACAAAAGATCTTCACATGAAAAAATTCCTATATAATCGATTAGAGTAAGCTCGTAAATGCTGTTCCAGCCTGAATAAATCTGCGGACGCGAAGTTCCTGCTCATTGACAATGTGGAAAATCAATGACGTCTCCGCGTAGTCAGAAATAGACCGTTTGGAGCCATGAAATTACAAGGAACCCAAACTGAAGATTCAGACCTGAGATCTATGATGAAAGTTAAGGAAACTTCCAATGTAATGGCAAGGTTTTGGACTACTACTGATGGAAAATTCACAAAGAAATCAACATTAGGTAGTGGCTAATTTTTATTATAGCTTCATTTTACTTAACATTCTTGCAGAATTTTCGAGTGTTTTCTGCCATTGTTGTTTTCGAATTTTCCCTTGAATTTTCAGAATTTGTTTCAGATTAAAGAATAATTATCCGGTAGTATCTTTAGTAATCCTAGAATTATCAAAAGATTGCTTAGGAGCTTCAACAAATCAAATTTTCTTTCCCATCAGATTGTTTAGCCAGTGATTCCAAAACCTCCTAGCGGATTATTTTTTAATATCCTTTCCTAGCTACGTTTTCATGCCAGTGCCTTTAGCGATATATAAAAGCTGATAATACGACTTAATTTGTGTAAACTAATTCGCTTTTTTGGGCAATTAATGGAATCGTGAAGTTCTCAAATAATTGTCTCATCCTCTATGTCTAAAGCATTTCAGGAATGTAGCGAATGCATGAGAAAACTGAAAGAAAATAAGCTTTAAAGGTCTGAGAAAAGAGAAAAATATTTTACGCTTCATGTTGCTATGTCTAGCAACTTAATCATCCTAAAAAATTATTCCGCTTTCATCCTATTTAAATTGGGACATATTTTTTCCCCTCGGCTACTTAGGTATAGAATTTAAAATCCGTATGGTTGCGCTGAAGCATGTATGTTATGTTATTTTCATTAAACAGAGTTTATTTTATTTATTATTTTTCTGTTTACGTAGAAATCGCTTGTGTTCCTTAACAAGTGTTAAGTGTTTTTAACAATAGTTTACTATTACAATTGCTGTGGTTGGTGAAAATGCACTTGATGTTGATTTGTAAAGTTATTTTTAATAATATTTCATGCAATATATAATTATTTATTACTAACTAGGAAAAGATGTTTGTATGAGCGTTAATTTAAGTTTTAAAATATTCTTTGCAAAGAGCTACATTCATAGGACAAAAAGGACATCTAACGCAAGGTCATTTTTCAGGGTAAATCTGCATACAATGCCAAAAAGGTAGTTGTTGCATAATAATTCTGTAAGTTTTATAATTCAAGAGTTGAATTTCATTGTTCAGCGAAAATTCCTCACGAGATCTGACTTTCACTGGGCTTAAAAACTGATTGATATTTAATCATGCCTCACGCAATGGATTATCCCACAGAGAGTGGAAGTTGCTCTATGTATTTAAAATGTTGATAATTTTTGTGATAGTTAATTTGATTAGTGGTATTATTTCATGACATAAAATGCTGCTTTTTTAATACGTATACATGCATGACGATTAATTATACGGTACTTATTAAATCTATCGCTAATACATCCAGAACAAACATTGAACATATTCGCTTAAAAAAATGCAAATGTGATTTCTCTGTATTTGAATGCAGTGCAGGATTAAATACTAGACAGTATCCATGAAAATTCGATTCAGTGGTTTATATAACAATTTTGCACCTTAACTTTAATATACAGTATTAAATTTCTGTATGAACTTTTCTATTTTAACCGAGTGAAGTATATATTATCATAAAGAAAAGCTTTAGATTATATTCACGTACACTTCCAACCATCTCTGTCTCCAACATTAAGAAGCTTTCTAGCAAATACACTGTTCAATTAATAACTTTGTTGCCAGATAAGAAGAAAAACTTCCAAACAATGTGTTTATTAATGGCTCAGCTGAAAAGAAATATATTATTATAACTTCAACGTTAAGTAAGGATGCTTATTTTAGAGTTTGAACTTAAAGCACCCCCATTATTAAAACTTAGTAGATCTTGGCGCATTTATGTCGTATTTTGATTATAAAGTCAATCAGAGAGACAATTTTGGAGTCTATCATAATGGTCAGATAATCATATATGAGATAGAAAAGTAATCACCTATCTCCATTCCCATATAGTACTTCCAATGCCTACGGTCTCTTGGCATGAATGAAACTCAAATCTATTTTCATGAATAATTGCAGAAAATTATAGAACATAAAAGCATAAAATTTAATAATAATAAATAAATTCATTTATTTTTAAATACAAATTAAACTTACACACTAATAACGCGAGGTTAGTTAATTTTACATTATTTTATTATGAAAATATATTTTAATTTCGCTTTTAATAAGAAGGAAATTTTCCATATACCATCTCCAAGGAACACAAATTCAATATGGTTTTAAATTTTTTTCATTCATATATATATTTTTTTTTTTCATTCATGGTTTTAAATTGAATGTGTGTTCCTTGGAGATGGTATATGGAAAGTGTTTTTATTATAAACTATTAGGAATTATTAGTTTATTACTTTGCAGCTTTAGCGCAAGTTATAGGCTTTTTAATTTACTTTAAATTACTTTATAATTTTGCTTTATATTTTTATGCAAATGAAAGAGAAGAGGGGGAAATCAGTATAGATTTATATTAACTTATGTGAAAATTAGAACTGTGGAAAATCGTTCCATTAATATAAAACATGCTCTATTTGACATGAAGGAAATGGAACATCATTTTAAAATATTGAGGGTATTCTGATACCTCAATTAACAAAATACAAGCATTTTTTTTTTTTAATTCCAGCGTATTTTCTGCTTCACAACTGTACAGAGAAATGCAATAATACCAGCATAGCTTTGAAGAAAGATGATAAAGATTAAAAAGATTATATAGCACACATGAATAAAATGAAAGATAATTTTTTAATTAATTATATTACAGATACACCATTTCTTCGGTTCGCATGACAATATTTAACATTGCATCCATCTTCCTCAGTAGTTCTCATCCTGTTTTGCTTCATGCACCTCTTTCACCATTGTTAATAAATAAATAACCCCTTTTTACCAAAACTAGAAAAATACGTGTACATTTATTTAGATTTAGATTATTTTTAATGTGTTTTTGTATATTAAACAACCAAGTGTAGAAAATGTTAAATACCAAAAACTAAACAGAATTTTTTAAAAAAATTCCTAAACTAAAACTAAATACTTAAAAGTTAAATAAAAGGCTAACCGCATCCCCCCTGAAACTATGACCTCCCCCAAAAGGAGGAATTCTCCTCTGTTTTAGAACCCCTGATCTAACAGCAATATATGCATACCTGCGCTTTTTATCAAACAAAAATAAATAAGAACAAGAAATAATGGTTAGCTCAGTATGCAAAATGACTGCTTATTATATTTAAGATTTTTTTTATTTCTTTATCTATACTAATAATGTATGTTTATGGGGGGAAAATTATTCCCCCCCGGCCTCCTGTTAGATATGCATCGAATTTATCATTAAAAAATTCAATATACTATAAAAACATCATTAGACTGAAAGATATTGTTTCAGCTTCATGGGAAATCTAATTTACCAATTGAATAAGTTTCCGGGTAAATTTAGAAGAAAGTGTCACAAAACACCTTTTTTCTTCTACTAAAATTATCCAGAAATTTTATGCAACGAGTCACTCGAAATTCTTTAAAGTTTTCCATGTATATATGAATTCTAAGTTTACCATTGGGTGCTTTTTTATAAATTTTTATAAATTTGTTTATGCCTAGATCTGCCCTTTTAGAACATAATAACGTGCAACTCATAACTTTCTTTTCTTATCGATATATATAATATTATAGACAATAGTAAGAAATTCAGAACCAACCCACAAAGACATGAAAGAAATGAAATTTAAAACCAGTTCCGATTAAAAAATTATTAAACAAAGCAAATAAAAACGAATGATATCTATAGTAATTCTTATTTATTCAAGATTCGTCTGTAGTTCGATATAAACAATATGATTTTATAAAGAACTAAAAACGGAAGATTTATACATGAAATGTATACAAAATATATAGTTATACTATTGATATAAAAAAAGTAATGGAAAAAAATTCTAAAATTTCCCATTCCATGACACTCATCTGTATAGGATAAGTGTCATTAACGGAAAAAAAAAAAAAAAAAAAAAAAAAAAAAATATTTTATATTTAATTTGAGTATAAATGCACAAAAAAATCGAAATTTTATATTTAAAATGAAAAAGTACTTATAATACACAAAAAAATATCTATACAAGTAAAGACATTCCATGCGTTAAGCAAGTTATTCTTTCTTTGCATTACTAGAATATCAGCAGGTGTTTCACATCAGCAGGTCAAAAAGCAGCAAGTGCTTTAATCTATTTTTGTGGGACTTAATTGTTTTAGGAAATACTTTATTGCTCGACGTCTAATTTCTCTTATACATATTACTGCAATAATGCTCCAAAAGTCCGTACATAGAGGTGTATAATTCAAAGATGACTTTGTAAAAGTTACAAAATCTTAACTCACCCATGCTTTCCTAGACAAGTTTCCTTTTTATTTCAGCAAATAAATTAAGCCATTTCTTAATCATGGACTGATCCTTCATACGTAGTTTGATAATCCTATCATATATAAATCCTTGCCACACCTTCCTTCAATCTAACAACTGCACACCTTTATCACCTGTAATACACAGTACCTGGGTCAAGCTAGCGTTGTTGATTCGTAGTATTTATTCGAAGTGAAACAAACGCCATGATGGCGCCATCTATAGCCTATTTCAAGAACTAAAATGGGATCTCTGCCATTTAATTATGAATGGAATATTAAAAAGTTAAATTTTCTGACTAATGATTTTCATCTTATAATTTCCTCTCAGAGGATCATGATGGAAGATATTTTGTTAATGATGAACTTGTATTAATCCTTAAATAAAAACTAAAGAAATTTTATTTTGTATAATAATTTAACATAATAATGCAGATTTTCTCCATTTTACGAAGGTCCTCTTAAATCTTTTACAAGCTGAAATTGTTATGAAGAGAAAACGCGCAGGGCCGGATTTATGTATAAGGTACACAAGCTATAGCTTAGGGCCCCCAAGATTGGGGTGCCCCCAAAAAATTTAAATATAGTGTACCACTTAAAGTAAAAATTATGTGATTAGATAAAGCAACAACCTTGTGTTTGCCATAATTAGTTAAGACTCGTGCAATTTCAAGGGCAAATAGACATAGGCCTCTCTTCATCAGTAGCAGAGAAATCTGCAAATTAATTAAAATCTGAGTCTTAATGAATTGAAATATGCCCAAACTCAATATGCGCGTTTGTCTTCTCCCTTTGCATGGTAATGCTTGTTACATGATAACGTTCATGGATTGCGGCGAAACATTTGAAACTTATCTGCCTAAGAGCAGGGAAAGTTTTCCAAATGAAAATTAATTCGCATTTACGTATGGAAATCCAGAACACAGCCTTTTTCGCCGTGCCTGAAGCTAACTACCAGTGTTCGGTGATCTTTCGACTCGCCCACTGGTGGTTAACTGCATAATAAGCACCCAGTTCAAATAAGCAAAATTAATATATAGTGTAGTTTAGTATTCTAAATGTAGGAGACAGTAATTCCATTCTCTTAATAATTTACTAATTAATTTAGGAGACAGTAATGAGTGATGATGATACCTAAAGCTAAGATATTGAAGATTAGGTAGTGGAAAATGCAGGAAAGTGGGCGGTCAGGATGTCAATTTGCCCGACAGCAAATGTCAGCCGCCTTATATATCATACCTTAATAACAATATCTTAAAAATACTAATGAACTTTTAGTAAATTGATAATGTAATAGAAAAACTGTATTTTCAATATCATTACTGTACGCAACTAAAATTTACTCCGCATTACTTTGTTAATACAATTCTGAAAAGAATTACTGTGCTTTGCCTATGACTGATTGATCTTTGGCGTATTATACTGTCTATAGTATGATAATACACATAGTTTTCTGAAGCCTGAAATATTATTTATTGCTTTAAAATTTTCATATTCGTTATTGAAATTTAAAACTAAGAAACGGCAATTATAAAGAGTGAAGATGCAATAGTTAATTTGTTTGTCAGACTTTTATGATAGTTCAATGGCTTTTAAGCTTATTTTCATCTGTTATATCAATTCATTGTTTGTTTGCGAGAATTTTCAATTTGGATATAATATTGATGAGTTAAGTCGTTTTCATAAAATTTAAGAGTTCTCTAACATTTAAAATACCAGAGTTTAATTTATCTGCGTGAACATTATTGTAGATCGTAAGTTCCCGACAGGCATCGATCCCCAAACGGTCGGTATTGACGCCCTGGGGATTGATAAAATTTTAAAGGGGGTTAGTGGTGATCAAGGGGTCAATAGGCACACCCACAATTGATGGGCATAACTAAAATCCCATTGATTATAAAATATTTATAAATAAAATTTATAATTGAGAAAATATATTATCAAGTATTTTCTCCCTGTTTTCAGCATGCCTTCATGGTATAACGGTACCACTCTCGGTGCGTATTCTAGAGGTCCAGGCTCGAGAGTCCTAGCGAGGGCATTGTTCATTTTTCATGTACTCCTGCTTCAAACTAACCTAATCACTCTACAGTAGGGTCCGAACTAAAAACGTGGTGAGCGATAATTCGTCACCACAAGGATTTGGTCTACCTAATCTCCAGCCCCCCTTTAATAGGAGGGTCTATAAGGTATTTTCTCTCTTTTTCCAGCATGCCTTTGTGGGTAACAGTAGCACACTTGGCCAGTGCCTCCTAAATGGCACAGTGCCTCCTAGATGGCACAGTGCCTCCTAGATGGCATAGTGCCTCCTAGATGGCACTGACTAAGAGGCACTGACTTGACGCGTGTTCGAGAGGTCCAGGTTCGATTTCCGGCGAGGGCATTGCTCATTTCTTATGTCTTCTGCTTCAAAAAAAATCTAATGCCTCTGCAAAATATACTAAAATTAATTCATATATTTTAAACATCAATATTGTTTTAAATATATAATTTCTTTAAGTAGTAAGCGCAATGTAAAATAATAAAATACAAATGGGAAATATTTAGGAAGAGCTTAGTATTATTTTGAAGCTATGCATCAAAACATTAAATACTGTCAAAACTATTGGCTTTCAACAACCGTCTTTTTGCTAAACCATTTGACCAGAATGATGAAGGTTACAACAGTTTACTTCTTCGCCTACAGGTATACTGGTTCACCAAGGGTAACTATTTGTAGGGTTGTAGGGTTTCGTAAACATTTTTAATTCCGTGATAGAATTTTTTCTCGAACTTAACAATTGCATGGCGATACAATTAATAAAACTCAGAAAACATACATTCTATTTAACTAATGTTTATTCATTATTCAAGGGTACACAAAACAAACTGGAATTTATATTGACACTGAATCGAAAAGAGTTTTATAAAGAAAAGAATTTATACCTTAATGCGATTATCCATTATTGAAAAGGACTGCATTTCCTCAGAAGATATAATGCTATATACAAGCTACTTGCAAAAGTTAAAAGAAGAATTTAATGTTCGTTTAGAAGATACTGAAAATTTGAATATGAAACCTTAGATCTTAGAACTACTGAACTGCGCTACATCTGATCTGGATATTATGATGCAGGAGGAGTTGATGCATTGAAGGAGGATGTTCAAACCTAAGTCGTATTCAAAACACATAATTACGCTGTCTTGGAATTTAACGGGACATATATGTCCCACTAAAAGTTTTAAAATTATAGCTGGGATAGAGAGTACTTAGAATCTCCTGAATGTTGGGGATCATCTTCCAATAGTTGGAAAATCAAGACACCGCTATGTGCACAAATGAACATAGAGAAAAGAGCTAGTATACGAGTTGCCCAAGTATCGGTTGTTTAACCCAAGTTGGGTTACGCAAAGAATGCTTTTTTTTCTATACTATTCGATGCATATCTATTTCATGTAATAAAGTTTTCCAGAACAATAGGTATGTTTAGAGTAAGTCGATCGCTACATATGGGGCATATGTATCCCGCCATTAACTACGGCTGGGACATAGGAAATGAAAACCATTTGTCAAAAAAATCCCAAATGCTAAATTTATCTTATTCATGACCTATCCTGTTGACTTTTAAAAGAAAAAGGGATAATTTTTTAATTCGTGATCAAAGGGTTAAAAAGACATCCGAGAGAAATATCCCAAAATACAAGTTGTTACTGAACCAATATTATTGACTTCCCCCACCTAGTAGAAGCAAAGACATTAGGTATTTTTTAAAGCAGGAGAGATGAAAAAGAGCAGTGCCGTCGCCGGAACTCGAACCACGGACCTCTCGAATACGCGCCGAGAGTGCTGACCACTACACCTCGAAGGCGTGCTAAGAAGGTGGAAGCAATACCATATAAAGTTAAGAAATTTTATGCCAAATATTTTTTAAACTTTCGTTAGTACATCAAACGCAGGCAGCATATTAATTAAAATCGAACTTTTGTGCAATCAGAATCGGTGTTTCGGCCACCAGAGCTCTCTGCCTGTCTGTGAGATATTATTTCGCAATGCGCTGATTGTATGCGCAGCTCGCATTTTGTCCTTGCATTCTTGCAAACGCTATTTGTAACTCTCTCGTGTTACTTTGTGCTGTGTGTTGTGTTCGAAAGTTCAAACTGCCGAATAAAGGTTAATTTACAGTCCACTCGCATTGATGTATTCTTAGGTTTATTAATTTAAAGCTAAGATACCGCTATGCTACATTATTCTGTTCCGTCCTACGCCGGAGATTCGAGAAAAACCCGCGCTTGTGAATAAGAATTCTATGTGTAAGTAATAGTGTTACTTTCGGTTTAGAATCCTCAAGAGTTTCGCAATAGATACAGTGTACGAGGTGAGTGAAATAGTTAACGCATTTTAATTGCATTTGACATTTCGTTATTGCTACTTTATTGTGATTAAAGTATTAGTAAAATCGAGAATTTAGAATATGTTCAAAATGTCAGATATAGAAAAAAAACGAAAGAAAATTTCGAAGTTACCGAAATTATCTTTGCCCACATTTAGTGGAAATTTAACAGAATGGATAACATTTAAAGATTTATTTAACGCTAGTGTTCGCAACAATCCAAATCTATCTGGAGCTCAAAAATTACAATATTTAAAGAGTTCTTTGAAAAATGATGCTTATCGCATTATTCAGTCAATTCCCATAGCTGATCAAAATTTCAGTATTGCTTGGAATTTACTAGAAGAGAGATTTTCTAATAAAAGGGAACAGATATTTGCTTTTATTAAAAGAATTCTTAACGTTTCACAAATACAAACGGAATCTGCATCCTCGATATTAAATTTAGTAGATAATGTAAACGAAATAACTCTCTCATCGGAAATTATTAGATCAAAGAGTAGATTATTTTAGTGATACTTTGTTGATGTATATTATTTTGCAAAAACTTGATGTTTCGACAAAGTTGTGGTGGGAGCGTCAATTAAAAAAGACGAAATACCAAAGTTGAATGACTTGGTAGAATTTTTGAATAATTACGCTAGAACATTACAGAACAGTAAACCTTTAATTAGTAAAATGCATAAATCAGATAAACCAGTGTATAATAGGGTTACTTCTCTGATTACTAATTCTACCTGGTTATTTTCTAAAGAAGATCATTTTTTATACA